CACAAAGCAAACCACAACATTTGCAAAATCACACCAGAAACCTCCTAATGCATTGTGTAATGTTTGGTATGCATTCAACTTCGAAATCTCAAGAAAATTAACTAGTGCAAGGAATACTGACCTAGTGGACGATAATTCTGGTTTGTCCTGTATGTGGTGTCGAAGCTTATCGTATCTCCGAAGCAACTGTAGTCAAACCACATTCTTGCATCAGCCCAGAATATACTTGCAATATCGTCGTTACTATCTACCTCAATTTCATTGAAGAATGATGGATTCTTGTAAGCTTCATGGCGAAAATGTTCAAGAAGTATAGTTGCTTCGCCTGGTTTCATTGATTTCTGCCTTGTCCCCGTGATATAGTTCTTCAGATCATGAGGGGTAAAAGGTACATTCACCCTCCCCCCTGAAGTTGTGGTGAACAACTCATATGATTTCCGTAGTGAAACTCCACAATCTGTATGCACTTTTGCGACCATTGCATGCATTACTGAGATCCCCTTGTTCGACCTCAAGAGATGTTTGAATTTTGGAGGGAGGAGATCATGGTTGTGTTCTGTTATCCAGTATCCACTTGTCCAGCAGCCATTCATCCTTCTCGATATCATATCTGAATTTGATTATAGCTGGGCAGCCAACTCTAGTTCTGGTACATCATGTTGATAAGCCTTGACATCTATTGATCCTTTATTCTTGGGATTTGACTTGCTTCTGGTCTTGTATCCTTCTTTGCTGCAGCAATACCTAGCATATCGTGCTGTTTTGGTTGGCTGTCTTTTTGTAGAACGTTTGACAGCTCCCATGTCCCTCACGCTGAAGCCAAGATCGTGAGCATAGTTCTTGTAGAATTGTTTTGCTTCCTCAATGGTTTTGAATGCCAACCCCAAACTAGTGTAGTCTGACTCAGACCTGTTTGATGTCACACCTGTAAGCAATGATGAAAGAAATGAGCACTTGATCATTTCATCTTGCGATAATATTTACTAGAAAAGTGAAAACTGGTTTGTGTTGTAGTTATTCATGATGCTTTTATGACATTTATGGTTTGCATTACAGTGTATGATTTTTTTTACAAACAGATTGCGAAATGTAACGATTAACGTTTTAATGGTGTGTATTGAAGGTGTTTTGGTGCGTTTAAGAAGTATTGTGGTTTGTTTTTAAAGTGTTTTGGTTGATTGTCTCTTTTTTTTACTGTGGTTTGTTTTGGGAAGAATGTGGTGTGTTTGGCGATGCTTTTGGTATCGTTTGTGGGATTTTTGTGGGCGGTTTAATCATTTCATCTTGCAATGATATTTGCTAGAAAAGTGAAAAGTGGTTTGCATTGTAGTTATTCATGATTCTTTTATAATATTTATGGTTTGCATTACAATGTGCTTTTTTTACAAACAGATTGCGGAATGTAACGATTTAGGTTTTAATGGTGTGCATTGGAGGTGTTTTGGTGCGTTTAAGAAGTATTGTGGTTTGTTTTTAAAGTGTTTTGCTTGATTGTCTCTTTTTTTCCTGTGGTTTGTTTTGGGAAGAATGTGGTGTGTTTGGCGATGCTTTTGGTATCATTTGTGGGATTTTTGTGGCCGGTTTGATTGGTAGTGCTTATGATATGGTAAATGGCTTGTATAAGCGTGATTGTGGTGCTCATTGTAAGAAAACAGGAAGGATTGAGTTGAGTGTACCTTCTTCTTGTTCATTGTTGCCACTGTTGGTGGAAATAGAGGTTTCCAGCTGATATCCAACTTCTGTTGCATTGTCAGAAGATGTTGCAATTTGCAGGAGTTGTTGAGCATCTACAGAACCAACAGAAACTTCATCTACACGATTCTCGTCCATCATCAATGTCTTAGCTGCGATCAGGAGCTTGCTCCGCCGTCGCCGCCGTTGCTGTAGCTGCTGCGATCAGATCTCGTCGCCGCCGTTGCTGTAGCTGCTGCGATCAGGATCTCGTCGCCGTCGTTGCTGTTGCTGCTGCGATCAGGATCTCGTCGCCGCCGTTGCTGTAGCTGCTGCGATCAGGCTCTCGTCGCCGCCGTTGCAGTAGTTGCATTGCTCCGATGAGGATTCGTCGCCCTCGTTCAGCCTCGGCGCCGCGCGATTGGACAGAGAATAAAGTGGGGAGAGAGAAACAAGCTGGAAATTTTCGGACAAAAGGAGCTGGTAATTTTCGGTAGGACAAAAATACCCTTCCTTTGTATTTTACCCTAGTCAACGCATGAATTTCAAAAGTATGCAGAATGGTGGGTTCCTATTGGTCCACCTATGTTGTTGTTACAATAACAACAAATATGGTGTTGTCACCATATCCGCTCCCCACAAATATGACACTTTGTCCTCAAGTATTCATAATGACAATCATAGCACAAACTACAAGACATTTTTACATTTGTAGTCTGGCGATTTCGTTGACCGTTAGAGATAACGAATGATCAGACGGTGGTGAAAGTGATATTGATTTTTCTTGAGAGGCTTCGAAATATTTCGTCTCCGTCGAGGGTGATACTTGTTAAGTGGTTGAGTTATTGTTGAATACGAGAGATTTAGAGAAGCGCGACAACAATTGCTTGATTGCTCCCCACCTTCTTGTTTCCCTCTAATCTTTGAAGGGCTAATCCTGCCTGACATTGGTCTCCTAATAAAGTTTAAGAACCTACAAATCATCGAAAACTTGTTCAAATGCTCGATTCCTTGTGAGATCGGGCAACTGGAGTCATACAACGGTAGTGTGCTGTTAGTCAACATTAACATATGTACAAGTTTGTGTTAGAACTCAAAAATTTCATATTGAATAGGCAAAATACACTTGTATAGCCAAAATTTTCGCGTTTGTGACAATAATAGCCACTTTTCAAGAAATACCACTTATAGCCACTTCCGTCTAAATCTTTAATGGTATTAGCGATAAATCTAACCGGGGAAACTGAAATACTGACTGCCGGCAAGCTATTATCTCAAATTTCTTCTGTAAATATCAACATGAGGGAATGAAAAAAAAATTACGGGGTAAAAAATCAATGAGAACAGCAGGTCGTCGATAGATAAGCCGCTTCTTGACTTGGGATTTTCTTTGACTGAACCAGGTGGTCTACTGTAGTCTGTAGTGCCCAAATCCGATATGAGAACGATAAATATTTGGAAATTTGGAACAGATCTAGAACGATTGAAACTTCGAAGACAGTAACTAAGGGAATGGTCGTCGATCAGAAAAGAAAATTTTCTATCTAAATTTTTGGGGATCAAATCGAGAGGAGCGCTTTTGTGGGTCATCATCCTCCCTGATGTCGAGAGTCGTAATCGCTGAAACCCAACTACCTCTACTCCCATACCTCCGCCGCTGTGAATTCCACCATCTCCCTCACCATTGACCGCTCCTTCCCTTCTCTCAGTGACACCCTCTCCTCTACCAGCCTCCATCGGCGCTCCTCTACCGTCCACTTCGACATCGCCGTCGAATTCGACGCCACACTGGTTCATCTCTCCGATACGCTGGGTTGAAGATGCAGAGATGAGGGACAAGCACAGTCTGCCATTCCATAGCGCCGTGCCGTCCAGATCTGCTTTCCACTCGTCCGATGGTTTCGATCCGGTGAGATGGAAATAAATCTTGTGACTTTCGTATAGGGGTGGGCAACGGGAAACGGGTATTTGGTTATACCCGTACCCGTCCCGTTTTTTAAGGGTTACGAGTATCCATATTACCCGTAATATTTTAAACGGATGGGACTTGGGATTGTACAGTCCTAATATGGGTACCCGCAGGTTACCCGCGAATAACCGTTTGGGTAATATGGGTACCCATTGTACCCATTCAAATTACAAAGACATTTAATTCAGCCCATGCGCCCAGGCCCAACCCAATTCAAAATTCATTCAAATTACAAAATCCATTTAATTCAGCCCGTGAGTGTATCTGGCTTCCCTCTGCTTCCTTCTTGGCTGTGTTGATTGTGGCAGTGGGAAAATCCGAAAATGGCAGTGGGTTTGTTTTTTCGGATGTAATTGTCTTTAGCTAAAAAGTCAATGAGGAAAATGAATGATTGTGTTTTGAAATGAATGCTTTGGATGTAATTGACTAATTGTCTTTAGGTAAAATGTCATTTAAACTTTGGGTATTTATGGGTAGTATGGGTACCCGTTATCCGTCCCGTACGGGTAATGGGTACCCGTTTCCCATATGGGTTTGGGATATGGGATGGACTTTGGTCTCCAAATGAGACTGGGTATCCGTTTAAAACGGGACGGGTATCCCGTCCCGTCCCGTTGCCCACCCCTACTTTGGTATTTCCCACAACGAAGGGAGGGAGAAAGGGAAAGTGACGATGAGATGGCGAATACTGGGGAATTTTTCTTTTTTTTTTTTTTGTTACCAACCCAACGTAGAGAGAGAAAGGGAGAGTGAGGTGGAGAAATGTTTCAATTTTTTTAATTAAATTAATTGATGATGAGTAATTATTAAATAATTATAAATTATGATGTGTTACTTTTGGCTTATTTGGCGCTGATGTGTGCGTTGAATGGGAGCCTAGTATGCGAACCGTCAAAGAACTTGACGGTGTTACTAATACCGTTAAAATATCTAACAAAAATGACTAGATTTGTCATACAACAACTACAAAATCCGGCTATAAGTGATATTTCTCCAAAAGTGTCTGTTATTGACACAAACACGAAAGTTTTTTGTTAAACAATTGTATTTTGCCTATTAAATACTTTAGGATAGAAGTACATTTTTGTGATTGTTGGAGTGTTCTACTAGGGTTTAATTCTTCTATACGACCCATCAACTGTATCATTTATAGCTAAAACTTATAAGTTATAACTGCACCCCAATTAAAAAATCCCTGGCTTTAGAGTGTTTTTTGACTGCTGATGTGGCTGCCCAATAAGGTGGAATTTCCCCCATCTTTTCCCCTCTATCGTCGAATCCAAGCGGTCTCCCTCCCTCTTTTCTCCTTCCATCCCGCAACCCATTCCCTACATCCCCTCTACCCTAATCCCTTTCCCATCCGTTCTCTAAAACAGAATTGGAAGAGAAGGACGACATGACAGGGGCTTTTCGGCTTCTTCTTTTCTTCTCTTCCCCGACGAATCAAAGGCCTAATGAAGGTTAACAAGAGCGGTTATGATCTTCTTCTCCGGTAAGGTCTCTTTCCTTTTTTATTGTAGAAAAATCTTCTTTATCTCTAGCTTCCTCTCTCGTGGATGGAAAATCGAACGACCCCATCCTCCGTAGTGATGTTACTAAACAATGTAACAAACAATAAATTTGCAGTGCTGGAGACGATTGACTACCGCGGCAGTTGCTTTCTCATCTTCCCTTATCTTCCATCCACTTTCCTCCTTTTGCAGATGAAGGAGTTGTCGTTGCGGTTCAGTTTCAGTCTGGTGATGACCATGTTCGCCTTGGAGTAGATCTTGTACCATTTTCCAGACTTAAGTTGCCCTCGGGTCATCGACAAAGATTCCACAACTGTTTTCCTCACAGGGTTGGTAGGTTCGGATAGAATTGCATCTCTCTCATACCGACACCCCCAGTGAATAATGTCTCTGCACACGCTGGACTTTGGCAACGTTTCCTTCAGAAATTCGCTTCACCCACTAGATTTCACCCCTAATTCTGCCCACTGGATTATTACTTGCCATATTCATCAATGAAGAAAGACTCGAAACATGATGTACCATCATGGTGAGTACTAATAGTATATGTTAGGATTTTAATGTTTGGTGTTTTATCTAGGCTGCCATCGTGAGGTTTGACGTAGACCAAAGTTCTGGATTTTGGCATATCATCATCGCCTGGGGTTGAAGTTGTAGGGACGAGGAGAAAACAACGTTGCTAGTTGGGTGGGGATTATCGTAAACAAACAAGTTTAACAACATCAACGGTTAGTTGCAGACCATGCTCAAGAAACTAGGGGTTCTTGATCCCTGTAGAGGAAATATGTTACCTTTTGAAACACATAATGGAAGGCAAGTGAATGGGCTCTCTCTTGAGGTTGAAGTAATGGATGATATGGTACTGATCGAATAGATTTTGTCTTTTGAAACATACAAAATGGTTGGCTGATGAATTGGGGGAAGTGGAATGGGAATCAAGAGCTGCTAATAGAAAGAAGAGGGGAAGAAGGAAAAGGAAACTGAATCAAGCTTTAAGCATGAAAATCATGTTGTTGAAGATTTATATATGGTGAACGGAAAGTATTCGAGGAAGAAGTTGATGGAGATGAAGTTTATTAATAATGTACAACAAAGGAGAATATGGAGAAGTATACAGTAGATTAGGAGCTGTTGCATAGAGTTGTCTTGCTCAAGGAGCAAGAAGAACATGTACCACCAAAATTGTGATTCCTTGAACTGTATGTGAAGCTGCTACTAGGGCGCCATATCTACTTGGTGAGTTTTTCATGCTAAGTTGAATTAACAAGAACAAATCTTCAATTTGGTAAAATATTGTTTCTTGGTTCATTGATAATGCCAAGCAAATGCTTATTGCTCTTCTTATTACTTTGTCTTGCATTGCTTCTTGAATTTCAATGGGATGACTTCGGTCAGTATTTGATTGTTGTTTTAATATTAATCCCAGTTGTCGTTGGTGTTTTTTCTTTTTAGTTTCACTTTGGGTTAGTGATCCATTTGTACTAGTCTGCCTGCTAGATGTTTATGAAAATATTATGCAGAATTGCTGAACCCGGTAGATGTTTATTTTCACTTGTAAGCAGTTGAAACTGACAAGTCTACTTTTAGAATAGAAGGGCCTGGTTATAGAACAAAAGTGTATTAAGATGTTCTCTCTTGATGTGTTACACCAGAATAGTTTTTGAAAGTATACCTTTAGTAATAACCTTTGAAAGTTTAGTCCTTCGTGCAGAAGATACATTTGGCCTCATTACTAAATGTTCCGTTTAGGTTCTTAATTCTGAGTTAGTGTGTCCATGCCCAATTTATGAAAGCCTTTTTTGTTTTCATTTCGTTCTTTTTAATCGGCTGGATTTTCTATGTTTGCTGGGATGGATCTTTTTATTGTAGTGGAATGCGATTTCTACTATTTATGAGTTGGCACATTTTTGGAATTGAAATGATCTCTGCAACTGGAATTTATTGCTTATGTTAAGTTAGCATTGTGGTTTCTGGCAGGTGAAGAAATAGCAGTCCAAATCCCTAAATCGAGTTTGGAACTTCATGGATTATCATCTCAGCTTGATTCAATTCAGTTCTCACTTAAACACATTGTATGTGAGCATATTGTTGGCCACCGTCATTTCTACAGCAGTAAGCTTTAGTTGTTTTCCGAGATAGTTAGTTCATTCTTTGATATGACCCCTTGAATTGGATAATCAATGGGGTAACTACCATACACTTAGCTAAAGCTGGACGAATAGCTCTACTTCATACTTTGGGTGGTTTGTTTTTTTGTATTTTGAGTCTTCAATTGGGTTTCTTTTGTTTTCTTGAATGGTGAATATCTTGATTTAAGAAGGAAAAGGATCTCACGTTATTTCCACGGGTGAAAAGTACCTCTGAAATTTCTTCCCTATTGTTATTGATCGTTAAATAAATTTCTTTGTCGATATCATTGTAAGTTCGGAAGAATCGAATCGTGGCCAAATTGAACCATTAAGTATATATTACTTAAGAGCACCCCTCCATTATTATATCATGTATTGATTACCCAAATTGTCTTCTTATTTCTAACTTGAGATGAACTGTAAACTTCTGCAGTAGTTTTGGATGTTTACCAATATCCTTTCTAAGATCTTCTAAGTTCTAACCAATTTCATTGAACTTGAGAAGGAAGCTGCAATAAAAAATGATTTCTTTGTGGCCATGTCATATTACCCTGAATGGGACGAATGAAATCAGTGTTTTGGTTCTTTTTTGGGTTAATACCTTATTTTGGCCCACTATGATCATATAATCAACTTCGACACGTGGTTTGAAAAATTAGCATCATGGCCTAAACTTTGCAGCATAAATACTCATTTGGCCTGGATCGTGGTTTGACCGTTTGTTTGGATGGTCAACACCGTTGACCGTTAGTCAATTGTCCAAGTCATTGCCGTGTCAGCAACCAAAGAAATAAAAAATTCGGAATTGAATTTTCTTTCTTATTTCCTTTACCTAATTAAAACAATGAAAAAAATCTTTGAACCACCCATCGCTTCCTCTCCGCCCCACCGCAAAATCGCACTCCTCTGCCGCCACCGACACACAGCTGGTGTTAAGAATCGACGTCGACAAAGATTTTGACTTCGATTTCCTCTCCGGTGGCAGCGGCAGGTAGCTCGAGGTCAGCCTCTTGGATCTAGAAAGTAGGGATTTCGCCCATTCCTTTTCCCTTTCTCTGTAGGCAACTCGTCTTTCTTCTTTCTCTTCCGCGACGGTGGAATCAATTGGGACATCGACCTACTGATTTCCTTTCCTCTCTATCTCCCTCTCTCTCCATCCTCACTCTTCACTTTCCCCTTTCTCACTCTGTTCCTATTCCTATTTTTTGCCCCTTTTTCTCTCACATCCAACCAAAACAGAAGCTGAGAAATGTTGGAAGAAACGGTAGCATCCGCTGTACATTCTTCGATATGGGCATCCATGACCAGCTGGTGCACACCCACTCTCCTTTTCCTCTTCCTGAACATCATGATTGACACCATTGCCATCACCTCCAGCTTAGCTTCCCAGAAGCCCAACAATCATCAAGACGACCACCACCATCTCAACAAGATAAACAACACCAGCAGCAGCAACTTTGGAGGTCACCGTCTATGTTGCAGAGGCTCAAGTCCATCAACTTCTACAGCCACAGATCTCAGGAACCCCAAGTCCATACTACAACAACTTATGAGAAGCCTCCAGCGGAGGGAATATTTGAGACTTCTACACATTATTTTGGAAGCTATGACCATTCCCACAAGGAAAGCCAGCAGGCGGTGCCGGCTCACCATCTCAGATTTTTCTTCTTTCAATTAGGTAAAGGAAATAAGAAAGAAAATTGAATTCCATTTTTTTATTTCTTTGGTTGCTGACATGGCGATGACCTGGACAGTTGACTAACGGTCCACGGTGTTGACAGTTCAAACAAACGGTCAAACCACGATTCGGGCCAAATGAGTATTTATGCTGCAAAGTTCGGGCCAGGATGTTAATTTCTCAAACCACATGCCAAAGTTGATTATATGGTCATAGTTGGGGCCAAAATAATGTATTAACCCATCTTTTTTCTATAAATTGTATTCTTAAAGCATCTCGCCATGTCCTATAATCCGATGTGAATCCGCGTGCTTGCTGAATTTGTTTATGTATTTTATCTAATGTAAGTGATTACAACTTCCTACTGAACGCATAACACAGAGGCAACCAGTTAAAATAATTGAATGTACGTTGAACATCATTGTTTATATCGTGTCCACGGGTCTCATATGTTTGATTTGGGCTGCGGTTATACATATGTGTCATTGGTGTGTTAAGGTTGCATAACATTGTCTAATGAACTCAATTTGTTTACTAGAAGAGAAATCTGAATGAAAAAGGAACTGATGATAGAGATATGGGCAGCGAAATGCACTTCTATTACTATTCAAGACCCTGCGTGTAATGCATTGTATGGTGTAATCGGCAATAGAGGTGAGGACTCTTAGTTTCATGTACATTTTGGCGTCATTTTGGTCTGCTAGGTTGATAATTTGGGGTTATATTTGAGTTTTGGTTATTTATTTCTCTGGAGTTATTTATGTTCAGATTTTGTAGTAAAAATACTATTTGTGAACTTCTTTAGTCTTTACCAATAAACAAATCTTCTAACTTCATTGAGTTGGAGATTGTGCTTAGGTTCTACTTGCTTTAATTTCGGATTTGTCATGAGTGGGCAGAGAATGTCTCATTCATTTCTTCATTATCCTATCTTACACTGTTACAACAATTAGGACAGTAAAATGAGAGAGGAGATGCTACTTTTTACTGCCTGATTCTACTTGCTGCCCAAACTTAAATACATTCAAGATTGGAAACGAGATAACCATGGAGTTGTAAAACTAAATGGATGTGGATTTTTTATGGGGCTACCACTATCTTAATGTTGATGTAGTAGTCAAGAATGTGTGTAATGAATTGATCATTATGTTTCCTTTTTATCTTCTCTCCACAATTGCTGGCATGGTCATGATTTGGGATATCATGATGTAAATCCCACTTTCGGTTTTGGATCTCGGTGCTCTATTAAAAGTGGCTAGGAAGCATTAAAGATGAGCATATCATTTTCCATATAATCTCAAACGTGAAGAGCCTTAGTGGATAAATGAGCTTATGCGAAGGTAGTCAAACTGGTTTAAACTGTTATGCCTGTTCCGTAAGTGATATAGTTTGATGTCGATATTAATAAAACAGACAAGGAAAGTGAGAAGCCATTAACATTAGCCGAATCGTGCATATTTATATAATATATCTTAAAATGAACAATTTATAATCAACATTCATAATTAAATAAAATATATCATTATAAGCGAATGTCAAAATATAATATTTAAATACAATATTTAACGCTTAGAATTCAAAAAATAACATCAACAATTAAATGCTCATACTTTAATCCAACAAATTATTTTCTTTTTTTTTAATTAATTCAACCAAAAAGACCACTTTATTCATGTACTGAATTATTAAAAAAAAATTCATGTACTGAAAATTGATCATTCTTATCCAACCATTTTTTCCAGATTTGAACGAACTCCACGATTTTCTCGGAATTCTCAATTAAAAATTGTTCAACACAAATTGCGCAACCCGACTGACCTGCAACCCGATTGACCCGCAACCCGACTGACCCGCAACCCGATTAACCCGAACCCGATTGACCCGAACCTGACTAACCCGTAACCCGACCGACTCAACCCGAATTTCATCTAATCCACTTGAATAATTATAAAAATATACAATACATAGTTTTTCAAAATAAAGTTTTTCATTCTAAACTTAAGTAAAATTATTTTTTCATTTCGTATAGGAAATTTAAAAAATATGAAACTCACTTGATATTACGTATTTTAAGAAAATTACAAAAATTGAAACATGAAGGTCACTTGAGATCATGACAATATTAATATAATATATAAATTAAAATTTTGGTTAATTTAACTATTCAATTAAATATAAATAAAGTAAAGTAATGTATTTGGTAATTTGATGTTTTTAAATGAAGAGGGAAATTTTTGTGTATTCAAGTTTTTGGGAAGAGAAAGAAAAGGGAAATTTGGTTCTTTGAATTTTTTAGAAAAGAAACAAGTGGGAATTTTGGTGGTTTTGATATGTGGGAAGAGAAAGAAGTGGAAAAATTTGATTCTTTTGATTATGAAAGAAAATAAGGAGGGAAACTTTTGAGTTTTCAACTTTTTGTAGAAGGAAAGAAGAGGGTAATTTGGTTCTTTCAATTTTATGGAAGAGAAAGAGGAGGGAAAATTGAGTTTTCTAATGTATGGAAGTAGAAAGAAGGAGGGAAATTTTAGTATTTTTGTGAAAAGAAAGAAGGAAACAAATTTGGTGTTTTCAATTTTTTGGTTTTTCATAATTTTAGCTTTTGAAATATGAATCTTTAACTTTTATATGGAGGGCATGACTATTTAAAATTATTCTTATATGCTTTGAAGGCTAATATATATATGTATGTAATTGTTTATGGGCTAATAAATAAATTAACCATTAGTTACAACAATTTATACTAAACTTGATAAGTAATCTTTGACGGTTTGTTGTTTAGGATATAAAGTATATGGTTAGGGTATAGGGTATAAGGTAGGGGTGGCTATACGGTCCGGTCCGGTTAAATTGGCCCAAATTGATCCGGTCTAGTCCGGTTTTTTTGAAAATATAAGGACCGAAGATTGGATTGGATACAGTCCGGTCTTGATCCGGTCCGGTCTTGACCCGATCCGGTCCCAATTAGGTCTTGATTTTATATTGAGATTGTGGGAATTTGAGTGGCCTAAGGCCTAAAAGGGTGAGGAGTTGGTTAAGTTTTGTACTAAGTGCAAAGGTTTGTGACCGTTTATGCAAATTATCCTTAAGTTTTGGGTGTTGAGCTCTCTTATCCGGTCTTTATCCGGTTTTTTACCTCAAATCTAAGCCCAAAGATTGGATTGGATTGTTTACTATCCGGTCCCGGTCCGGCCTCGGTCCGGGTTATACGGTTCGGTTTCCGGTTTTTTATCCGGTCCCGGTCCAAATAGCCAGCCCTAGTATAAGGTACATATGGTTTAGGGTGTATATGGTTAGGGTATAAGATATTGATGGTTTTGACGGTTCTAAGTTTTTTTATTAACATATGTTCACTTGAAGTCATTTGAAGTCTTTAACGGCAGGAGATCCCTTTTTAATTTATGTTTATGGTACGTGGTTAGGGTACACGGTATGTGGTGTAAAGTATAAGATATATGGTTAGGGTATAACAATTAGCAAATATCACTTTTTATCTATGTTTTAAAAATCAAAGTATGAATTTCACTTTTAAATTAACTATACTAGCAAAATCACAACTCAAAGACATATGGTTAGGATATAGGGTATAGGTTATGTGGTTAGTGTATAATGTATTGATGGTTTAGGGTATACAATCAACAACATATACTGTAACATCCCGAACCTTTTCCCGACAAGATACTGTCCGCTTTGGGCCTCTACACCCGCACGGATTTTAACTTGGGGTGCAATTCAGGGTGACTTCCCATAAGGTCACCCATCCTTGTAGTGCTCCACACTGAGCACGTTTAACTTCGGAGTTCTCACAAGAACTCCTCCATTTCACCCAAAAACGCGTCTTGTCAGTTAAGGTCGGTTTCCTACTTATGAACCATGGATCTCTCCCGTGCTTTGTCGATGTGGGATTTGCCTAAGGTGTTACATACACCCCCCCTCGGGACTCAACGCCCTCGTTGAGGTTTGCCCCACCATCGTTCAAGAGGGACGCGGAGAGGCTCTGATACCACTTGTAACATCCCGAACCTTTTCCCGACAAGATACTGTCCGCTTTGGGCCTCTACACCCGCACGGATTTTAACTTGGGGTGCAATTCAGGGTGACTTCCCATAAGGTCACCCATCCTTGTAGTGCTCCACACTGAGCACGTTTAACTTCGGAGTTCTCACAAGAACTCCTCCATTTCACCCCAAAACGCGTCTTGTCAGTTAAGGCCGGTTTCCTACTTATGAACCATGGATCTCTCCCGTGCTTTGTCGATGTGGGATTTGCCTAAGGTGTTACATATACTAACTTCATATTGTTGATTGAGGGTAAGGCAAAGTGTATAGGATATATGCTATTGAGTAAGTTATGATTGAAGTAACAATAATTTTACTAAATTTGATAGCTAATCTTTAATGGTTCAATTTTTAGGATAATTCGAACAATTTTACAAATAACTCGTTTGGCAACAGTTTAGTGAAGTTATTTGGGCAATGAGTTATTTCGAAATAACTCCTTTTATCACTATGCTTTTGCCAAATACCACACACCAAATACCAGATTTGCATGGTTATACTAAACGAGATACTTTAATCCAATTACTACTGAATTAATACTAAAATATCAAATAAACAATTAACGTTGTCTTTTGGTTGCAAATATTGACATCACCATTACTATTAGCTATAATACTTTTCCAATTATGATTCATTACATAACAAGTTTGCAAGTCATGCAAATTGATTTAACATTTTGACTAGTTTTTTTCCAAAAAAATAAAGTATATATATACGAGGTAGAAATAAATTGGTTAAAAGGTTGAGAAAATATTTTAAATTAGTGTAATAAAATGTGTAAGTTGGTAATGAGTAATGAGTTAAGTTACTTGATGCGCTGGCCCGAACAACCCGAAACCCGATCCGCCCGCAACCCGCCCGACCCAAAACCCGATGAACCCGCAACCCGATTGAACCCGAACCCGATGAACCCGCAAGCCGACTAACCCGCAACTCGTTTGAACCCGAACCCGATTGAACCCAGCCCGAATCCGCCCGAACACGCCCGAACCCGCCCGATTGACACCTATAGTTATTGGGCGTGTTTCAGGGTTGGATTTTTAGTCTCGCCGTCTTTGGTTTTTAGGGGTTTAAAAAAATTTCTCTTTTAGTCCACGCCATTCAGTGGGGTCAGAAACACGCCAACTAAGCATCCATCGTCTGTCCAGTCATCAAGTTAACTGACGGAGTGGACGGAAATGGATATTTCGTGTATTTCGATAGCTGTGGATATATTTGTCACAAACCTAATAGTGGTGGATATATTTGTCACAAACCTGATAGTTGTGGATATACGGCTGTATTTTGCCTTTATTCAACTAGCCTATTTGGCATCTACATGTAAAGTTTGATTGCTTTTTGGCTTATGTGGCATGTGAGATGACATCGATTCAGCATTCCGTTAGTCAATTTAACGTCGTCTGACACACCGTTATAGTTTCAGATGGAAGCGGATAGATTTGTCACACAACCTTCAGACTTTTGGATATTTCGTGTATTTCGATAATTGTGGATATATTTGTCACAAACCTTATAGTTGTGGATATAGAGCTGTATTTTGCCTAGTATTTATTTATAGTGCTATCTTCCCGGCTGCGGAAAAAAAACAACCGAGCCACAAGGTAAGACAATGTCCACCTGGAACTATGTAGTGGGTAGGTTTGTTGACAAAACCATCGCTTTCAGAGCCATTTTCACGATGCATCAGAGAAGCACCAAAACTTTGTCCACAACCTCAAGGGTCAAGTTGGGTTCAGACAAACCCTACCATCACCATGGGCCATGATTGTTAGATTGGTAATGATTAGCTGAATATCCGCTGTGAAATTCCTCGGCGTCCCCCTTCTATATCTGTGCATTCCTTTGATACACTCAGTCCTCCTCGTTACTTGGCCACCGGAATCGACCGATCATCAACTCCTATTTCCCCGGCCGGCCAGGGTGGCCAGGGTTAGCGGCACCCCAGAGCATCAATTAATAGGATTTGGAAAACAACCCAACACCAACCCTGTCAGACTGTGAAAGCTCTTTCTAAAGACGACACCAAGCCAAGCTGGCATAGAAAGATTCGCAGTGGAGTCATATTTATTTCCAGATCCACAGAACTCCACTTCCCAGAAAAAGAACCCACCTGAAACTTTGAATCTAGATATGCTCTCGCTTGGTTCGCCCCATTTCTGCTCCCAGCTCCAGTTTCAAAAAGCTCGGCAATTTACAAACGATTATGTCTCCCAACCCCAACCCACTTCAAATCTCAGAGCCCGGAAAACGATCACGGTGGCAGCAGCAACGCCGGCAACTGCTTCAAGCTTTGGGTTCACCAACCTGGTGGAAACCTTTACGGTAGATGTGCAGAAAGCAGAGAGCAGGCCGTTGAATGTGCCTTTGACTGCCCCTTTTACAATAGCAACTTCTAGGCTTGATCAGGTAGAAAACGTTGCCATTCGTATTGAGTTGAGTAATGGGTGTGTGGGATGGGGGGAGGCCCCAATACTTCCTTTTGTTACTGCAGAGGATCAGCCTACAGCCTTGGCCAAGGCTGGGGATGCTTGTGATTTCCTCAGGACCAGTTCCCCTATGACTTTGTCATCCATTCTCCACAACATTGGTGCCCTTGTTCCTGGCCATCAATTTGCTTCTGTAAGTTTGCTTCCTTGAATGTTGCTTTTACCCTTACAGTTTTGGTAGTGTTTTGCGGGTTTTTTTGTTTGTGTATAATGCTTGACCAGGCTTTGGGGTTTGAGAGAGTATTTGCTTGTATTGGATTTCATTTCCTATGATGCATGCCCATGACCTATGGAGAATCAGAATCTCTAACACTACATGCTGCTGTACATCAATATATATCGATGCATACATCATAGTGAACTATGGAGAATGAGTTTCAGAATCTCTGGCCGTCTACTATCCCATTCCATTTCATCCACCTTGATTTAGAATAGCCGTTGTTGAAGTCAAGATCCTGCCCGTTGTGTAAAATTCCGTTTGTTCTGTTTAATAATAGCTGTTTTGTAATGCAGGTTCGGGCAGGGATTGAGATGGCCCTAATTGATGCAGTTGCTACTAGCATTGATATACCACTCTGGAGATTATTTGGTGGCATTTCTGATACTATCACTACTGATATAACAGTTAAGAACGGTTTCCATAGTTTTTCCAACCAATTCATACTTTGACTTCAATCATGTGTCTTTTCTCAATCGATGATTGGGGTTCCTGAGATTTTTTCCCTCAGTTAGTGTTTGGCAAAACTTGATGCAGTTTCGGGCTTATATTTGACTGGAATACATTATCTATAGAAATATACTTGAAACAAACCTCTGAGGTTGTTGACCTTCTTATCAAATTGGCATGTACAGATTCCGATAACTGCACCTGCTGAAGCTGCTGAATTGGCAACAAAATATCGAGGGCAAGGCTTTAAAACCCTGAAGCTAAAGGTTGGAATGGATCTGACTTCTGACTTAGAAGTTCTTCGAGCAATCCGTGCAGTGCATCCTGATTGCTTTTTCATCTTGGATGCTAATGAGGGTTACAGCTCAGATGAGGCAGTTGAAGTACTGGAAAAATTACATGGTAGATTGCTTAGTTACATAAACTCATTTTTCTAGTCTTGGCTCCTAACAACTGCCAGCTTCTTAAGCCTGAGCTTATTTGACAGAAAGAAATCATTGAGATGGATTGATCTTATTTGTTACAGAAATGGGGGTGGTACCAATTCTTTTTGAACAACCTGTTCACAGAGATGACTGGGAAGGCCTTGGTCATGTTACCCGCATTGCTAAGCAACGGTATGGGGTATCTGTTGCAGCTGATGAGAGCTGTCGGAGTTTAACTGACGTGAAAAGAATTGCCAATGAAAGTCTTGCTGATGTTGTTAACATAAAACTTGCAAAAGTTGGTGTCATGGCTGCACTTGAAATAATTGACGAGGCGAGGGCATCAGGGTTGGACCTAATGATAGGCGGTATGGTCGAGACCAGATTGGCTATGGGCTTTGCCGGTCACCTTGCTGCTGGTCTTGGGTGTTTCAAGTAAGTCGGCGTGAGTTCAACATTTTTATGAGTAGCAATCCACAATGGGTTTTCTATTATATACAATTTTGCATGCTTGCTTTTCATTTATATTCATAGAAAATTATGTATGTTGAAGGTTCATTGACCTTGACACTCCCCTTTTGCTGGCTGAAGATCCTGTTCTTGAAGGTTATGAAGGTATGCCTTTTCTGTGTCACTCTTTCACCATGCATACAATCTTCTTGGTTTGTTGAGTTAAAGAAGCAGCATTCCTCAGATATGTAGGTCTCTAATTCCACAACTTGACTTTCTTAATTTCTCATGACTAGCTTTTGGAGCGGTCTACAAGTTCTCGAATGCTAGAGGTCATGGTGGCTTCCTTCATTGGGGCAACCTGGAGGGCTGACTTGACACAGACCATCTCATGCCTAAACCTCACTATGCACAACAAAATGTGTTCTGTTTTCTATTATTTTCCTTTTCTTGGTTCGAACTTTATAGTTACTTGGCGAATGATGTTAGACTATACGGAATGTGCAATCATTTTCGGTTCCTTGCTCTCTTTGATTCCCACCATATGAAACATCTATATCGCTCAAAAGAACCCACTTCTTTTATGAAGTACCTGTTGTTTCAGGGCCGAAATGGCTTCTTATTCCCTTGAGTTTAGCATAAGGTCGCATAAGAGTGCACAGCTTCAAGGTTTGGGTGGCTATGGAACTTACACTTGGTTGGAAGACATGTCAAAGGAGGATTATGTGTGGGAGATGATCAGGCAGGTTGCAGTTCAAAGTATGTTTTTAAGAGAATTACTGCAGTTGCTGTTTATCTGTTGGATTCCAGTGTCAGAAAGCCTGAAGCAGAGCACTAAGCAATGCTGGTAGCAGCTACAGCTGGGGCAGAGGTGCCGTGAAGCTCATCGATATGGCGGCTAAATGTACTATCCCTGAGTCGTCATTTCTATGCACTTGATTGGTGATAGTTTATCGGAATCGTTGTTGTGTTCAATTCTAGTTTACTGAATTTTCTTGCTTCTTTCAGGAATTGTACTGGAACCACCTAAACCTAGTCCCTGATTCGTCACTCTACACTTCTGCGAATTATGTTTATGCAACCGAGTATCATATGGATGTGGAACTGCTACTTTTGATTAGATGCTTCTCAAATAGGTTTTTTGACAATGGCAGCCTGCTGCAATGCTGCTGCATAAACGAAAGTTACAGTGAACTGAATGCTGAATGCACTGCCATGCAGAATCCTGATTCTAGCATTAGTTTCCAACTGCTGCCTATGATGGGTGACATGAGTTTCTCCTTTTTATCTTTTGGTAAAGCACACGAAAAATTGGCAGGAAGATGCTAACACTTTTTTGTTATCACCGTACTAACACTAATCACAGCCAATAAGAATTCTCCATTATGTTAATTTCATTAATTAAATAGTTGACCGCAATCAATAAATATTTTTATGTGCTGGGGCACACTCCTCATTTTCCAAATTTAATCAAATGTTTAGTTGTCCTCTTGTTCAGCTGCAGGATCCCTACATACTAGAATCTGGTGGGAATTTGTTGGAGTTTCGGATGGCCACCGACGAGGAGAGGATAGCATAGAGACGACAACGAGCAAGAACGGTGATCTGTTGTTGAAGATTCGAGTTGTCACCGGCCAGGAGTAGATATCGCGGAGGCGACTACGAGTAGCAACAGTGATTTGTTGTTGGAGATTCGAGCGACGACCATCAAGGAGCGAAGCTGCGTTGTTGTTTGATATCATAGAGATGCAACAACGAGCTGTAGGCCTCGACACTAGAGTCATAACGATGCCTGAGAAGGCCAACACCCGGGAGGACCTTATGCTATTACATGGGCCCTTTGTCCAAGTAGGAGATGAAGAATCGAGGAACTTGCATCCACCCGTGGCCACCAATAACTTTGAAATAAAGTCTGTTCATTACCATGATCCAACAGAAAATACAATTCCATGGATTGGCGAATGAATCTCCAAGAGAGCATGTCAAGAGGTTTCAAGATCAATGGAGTACCCGAAGAGGCCATTCAGTTGAGGCTTTTCCCCTACTCTCTAAGTGGGAAAGCTCAACAATGGTTGAACAACAGGCCAACCCTTTAGATAACCTCGTGGAATGACTTGCTCAACAAGTTCATGAATCGGGTTTGCCTAAATTTCAAGACGGTGGAATGGAGGAAGAAGATCACTCATTTTTCCCTAGAGGATGACAAGGACTTTGAGCAATGCATGGGAGAGATACTCTAACCTTTTCCTCCACTGTCCACCCCACGGGATTAGAAAGCAGTTCCAGATTGAAACTGTTTATGACGGTCTCCATTTAGAAGTTCAGATTCTCATTGACTCATTGTGTCAAAGGAACATGCTCAACTAGACTACACCTGAGATGACCGCATTGTTTGAAGATATGGCCGCTAAGGGCTATGATTGGGGGTTGACAAGGCGTGGGAGAAGGACAAGCGAGAAGGGAGTCCACTCCACGGATTCGGGTCCCTCACTCACCGAAGATTGATGAGTTGATCTCTATGCTCTTACAAGATAGGAAGCAAGGCAAGAAGCCGATGATTGTGATTGTTGTTCAAGTCCCAACACGGAGATTTGGAGTGCCAACTAATGAAGGAAGCAAGCACTCCGGAAGAACAAGTGAGCTTCATTGCTATACTAGGAGAGTCAACAACAACAACAAAAACCCCTATAGCAACACTTACAATCCGGGTTCGAGCAATCATCCAAACTTTGCATGGTCTTCACCAACTAATCCAAGGCCATCCGGTTTCCAAGGACTAATAGGGAACTATCACTACAAAAAAAGGAGATATTAACGAGGGGAAAAATTGCCGAGGGTATCAAAAACGGTCATTAAAAGACAGCTTTTCATTAACACTTGTCTATTAACGTGGGTCTTCTATTCCCCCTCGTTACTGTCTGAAACCTACGGTCGTTATTAGCCCAAGACCACTAACGATGGGCTGAAACCCCTCGTGATTACAGTCAATGAAATGTTTTTGAAAGCCCGCCTACTTTTATTTCACCTTGGCGGGTTTCAATGGAATTTTTTTGAAAGCCCGCCTACCTATTCACCTTGGCGGGTTTCATTACACTTTCAGTTCAGATCCAATAAAGCGTATCCAATCCTAATTCCGCTAAGCGGCCGTCTGAAATAATCCCACTCTCTTCCTTGTTCCTTCCATCCTCTTTGAAACCCTAGAGGAAAACTCAGCGAGAAATGTCTCTCTTCTTCTCAAAGACGAAGGCCACAGAGCAAAGAATCCCATCACCTTCGCCTTGCACAGGCACACAACCTCCCTGCCGCCTCCGCCTACCACACCCGGAGCTAAATACGGGCGACTCCAGACAAGCACAAGTGGTACTGCATTCTCCTCTTCTCCCGCCGGCTTGTTCCCTTCCTACCTCCGCCCTTTCTTATATCATCTCGTGGGGCTCTCAGTGTTCGTATTGTGCTTGAGCTGATTCTTTTGTTCTTTCTTTTCTGAGTCAGCTGAAATAGAATTGCTTTCTGGATGGTGGTCGCTGTCATGTCTGCTAGTTGGTATGGTAGAAACTGCAGCAGCTGCGAAAGGGAAGAAACAGAAGCGAAACGGTTAAGCTCTGCTGCTGCTAGGTTACATATTTGTTTTCGGCTAGCTGCTGGTAATGTCATCGATCCGCTGGTAACAGGTAAGTATAGACTGAAATGAACTAGGATCAATCCTTTCCTTTTTTGGTAGGAATTTATTTCAAGATGGGAGAGGCCAATTAGTGGTAATGACACGAGCAATTAAAAAAAAAAAAGAGATAAGGATTAGGACATATGCTTCTCTGTTCAAAGCTCCTCTTTCATTCCTCTGCCCCCTCACTCTTAATGGCTATTTGCTTGATTTTATTTTTTAGTTTGGATTTGATGATGCTTTCTTGTTTTGTGAATGCTTTTTGTAAATGGTAGGAGTAATTGCAGCTCAAATTAGAATTGAGGCTACTGGAAGCTCTCATGATTTACCCTCCCTTCAGGCTCTACTGTTTGATCAAATGCTACATTGCGCTGAAGGGAAATGCTCTTTTTCATGATGAGAAGCGAGTTTGGTAAGTATTTTTCATGGTGTATAAGAGGCTGTCTATGTTTTTAGGTATTAAGTTCAGCTGTTGTTTTGCTTAAGTTCTTAGCATTGTTCCTGTAATGGTCCCTTGTCCTCATTGGTTGTACCTTCAAACTGCAATCTAAGTATTTGTTGGCTAGAATCAGTAAGTAATACTACAAGAACAAGAGCTATGGAAAAACAGAGTTGAAACAGGACATGATGTCTATGCATTTTGCGTGTAAAATGCATCCTAAGTTCTGCCCCCACCCTCCCTATGGTTCTTTGATATGTACATTTAGTTTGGATTTTGTTGATGTTGTGTTAAAAAAAATGACTTGTTGCAGGAGTATTTGCAGTAATGGGTATCCAAACTGTGATGTAGTGTTTGATCGAATATTGCACTGGACCAAAGTGAAATGTCTTTGTGTATGATGAGAAGTGAATTTGGTAAGTCATTGTGTTTATAACTCATATGTTCTGATTACAAGTAGTCTTAGGTTGTATACAACTGTTAAGGTATTAATACACAAATTGAGGGCCTTCTGGCTGCTGCTTTAACTTTCTGCCATTCCAATTGCTTGCTGCACTTTTCTGCATCTTGCTGCATTTTTTGCACTACATTTTCTATGTATCTTCCTACCGTATGAGATTCAGCTTCTTTTTTCTTTCCCTTTTTGTCCTAGATATGGTTTCGTCTCTTGAGAAGCGTCCTATTAATGTGATCAGTGTATCTTCGGCAAGGACTTGGAAGAACATATGCAAGGTCTAGAGGCAAAAGAATAGTGCTTCAAGAGCTGAAGAAAGGGATATTATTGCTCCATCCACTCTGAAAGCTACCATAGTGTATCTCTTTTGTACTAGGAGTACAAATTACCTGTATTTTATTGTGTTAAAAGCACAATCATACGGTATGATTTTTCTCACTTTTAGATGTACGTTCATAGGTGTACTTTTAATGAACATATATATTAGCTTTCATACTGGTGGATTAAAGTAATAAAAAAATGACATATTTCTATGATTAAACTTTCAAACGTTGATTATTGTCAATGGTATGGAAGGTTACTAGCCATTCGGGAAAATAAATTGGCATTGTTTGCAACAGCATCTGTAACGATAGAAATTTTGTTATTTGCGAGGGTAGTTTAGTCGGCAATGTTTCTAATTCTACTTGGTAAAAGTAATTTTCAACGACCGGAAGAAGTACCCTCGTTGATACTTTCAACGACCGGTTAGTGTTTTCCCGTCGTTGTTGACTTTTACCGGCGAAGCCTATAATGAGGGGTCCTCTCCCGTCTTCAATGGCTTTTCCCGACCGTTTTTTGACAATCAACGACCGTTTCTACCCCTCGTTAAAGCCTCTTTTTTTTGTAGTGTATCAACCAATACCCCCTTTCATTCAACATAGGCCACAATTTCCAGGCTCGAACTTTCAACAACAATTTCAACCTCAATGTGGACAAGGGTTCCAACAACAACAACCCAATAAGTTCTCAAAACTTGAAGACTTATTCACCACCTTTATGAGTAAAAGTTCTCAATTCGAGAAGATTGAGCAATTCATGGAAGTCGCAACAAACAAGTTCACGTTGGTTGAGGTGGGTCTAAGAAGTCATCAAGCGGGCCTTCAAAACTTGGAGACTCAAATCGAAAATCTTATTGGGATCCTAACCGAGAGTCATAGAGGAGCTCTACCTTCCCAGACTGTTGCCAACCCCGAGATCAAAGTTTTGGGGTGAATGCTATTCTTTTGAAGAGTGGGAAGGTAACTCCACGGGATTAGAGAGCAGTTCCAGATTGAAACTGTTTATGACGGTCTCCATTTAGAAGTTCAGATTCTCATTGACTCATGCACCTGGCCAAGGCATTCTCCTTCCTGCTGATGGTGATCTTCGGTTAACCTCCTATTGTGATGCTGATTGGGCGGGTTGTCAAACAACTCGTCGTTCCACTTCAGGGTATTTCGTCATGTTGGGTTCTGCTCCTGTGTCCTGGGGCACGAAGAAACAAACCGTGGTTGCGCGTTCGTCAGCTGAAGCAGAGTATCGCGCCTTGGCTCACACTGTCTGTGAAGTGATTTGGTTAGAGGCGTTACTCCGCGATCTGGGCGTCCCTGTCCTTGGTCCTACTATTTTACACTGTGATGATCAGGCTGCGTTACATATCTCGGCCAATCCTGTGTTCCACAAACGTACTAAACATGTGGAACTCGACTGCTACTTGGTCTGTGATCATGTTGTTTCTCAAGCTATCCTTCCTCAGAAGATCGACACCCATGACCAGGTTGCGGACCTCTTTACTAATGGTCTTGGTAGTGATCGTTTTAACTTTCTGCTCTCCAAGCTAGGCAATTGTAACCTGCATGCCTCGCTTGCGGCGGGGGGGTGGGGGGTGGTAAAGGAGTAGATCACGTGTTTAGTAGGGACATATTAGTTTTTTCCTCTTGTGGCTTTTATGAACCCTACGTGTGGTAACCCTAGCTGAGTTGGGAAATAGGGTTCCATATATATTTGGTGTTCCTGCTGGCTGCGGCTAAATTTATTGATTGAGACCGATGAATAAGAGGAACTGAGAAGGGTCGTCTTCTCCGTGGATTAGTCTCGTTCAAGAAGAACGAGGATACCACGTTAAATCGGTGTGTCTTTTGTTATTTGGTTTTTCAAATATTTCAGTTGTGCCTTGGCCTATCACCCAAAAGAGTGGAGTTTCTTCACTAGTTACTCTCTCCTCATGGTGTATGAGCACATTCCTACACATCGGCATTCTATTCGGTCGATCTTGATATATAGCTAGGGGGAGCAATACCCCGGTGAAGGTTTCTCATCTAGATTCTAAACCAATTTATTTTCTTGCTTGTCTCAATTATAGACCTTAGTTTTCACTAAAAATTGATTTCTAGATAAGGTTTAAACGATTGAAGTAGGGGTACATGGACTGGCCCGGGTTGACATTTGAACCTCGACCCGAGAGTGTCAGATCCACTCTAGGTGGATTCTTGCTTGCAATCATGATGATCTGAACTGTCTAGCTAAGTGTCAAGAACTAGTTAGTCCCAATAACTCGAGTTGTTGGGAGAGGTTATATAATGGATCTTATACCACTGACTAACACACCCCACTCAAACGAAAGCCAATAAACTCATAGGAGTTTTCTTTTGCACAGGTCCTGAACACGAGAATACCATGTGCTTCACAAATGGGTGTCACCAGGATTCGAACACACGACCTTTCAGGCACATAAGGCTCTGATACCATGTCAAGAACAAGTTGATCCCAATAACTTGAGTTGTTGGGAGAGGTTCTATAATGGATCTTATACCACTCACTAACACTAAGAATGTAAAACAGGCTCTTGTTAGGAAGCAACCCAACATCGATTCGTATTTCTTTTCCTTATTTTTCTCTCTTTATTTAAGTTTTTGATTCGAGTGATGAGTTTTAAATGTTCACCGTGCCATGATTTATGTGTTTGAATGCTTTAGTGAGTCGTGATTGAGTTCGATGCACGGTTGAATCAATTGAGTATTGAGAATTATGGAGTTGCCCTGTTTTTATGATTGTCACGGTTTTAGGCATATGATCATGGTCATCAAACTGTGATAATGTGATGAAGATCGTGATATTTGCTGGCATCTCAATGATTTGCATACATCACAGACGAAAGGAATCTGTCACGGCCTCACGGGAAACTACCCGTGTTGTCTCCCAGACACACCGTTTTTGGTCAGGATCACATTTACTTCGTTATTGTCACGGTCTGCTGACCATGAAAATTGACCCCCGCACGTGATCTTGAACCTCGTGCTAGATAAGACAATCGTGAACCCTTCTTCTTAAAGAGTCGTTTCACTGGAATCCTCTGAACCTCTCACCGAAAAACGTCACCTCCAACTTTTTTCCAATGATTTGATCCACTTCCAGCGGTCCAATCCCAAGAATAAACACATCCCAGACTCTCCAAGCCAAGGCACACCTTCGTCGAGCTTTTGGTGGAGTTTTCTCCACTTTTCGTCGCTAGCAAAGTTGCTCCAGTGAAACTCCAGAAAGCTTCAGACAAAGCTCCAACGACCTCATCCGGCCAAATTTTTGGCCAATTTTCGACTCCTACCCCTTCTCCTCATCTTACCCACTAATTCTATTTGAGTCTCCAGGTGTGTTTTCATCTTTTACTTTATCAATTTTAGAGAACTGAAATTAGGGTTCTTAGGTAGGGAGAATTGGGATTTTTGCATGGATGGTTGAAATTGAATGTGGGAGTTGATGAAGGATGATAATTTCCATGTTGTTAATCAGTGTCTTGTCAGACACTTCGGAGTAGACACCTCAAACTCCTCAGTGGTGATTCAGACTGAGCCATCCCTTGTCGAGACACTCCACAACATGCATTGGTGAAGGAGGAGAGGGGAGTCGAGAATATTGATGGACTGCGCCCCTATGCCATACTTAGGCCGGTTGTGGAGCAGCCCCCAGAGAAGTAGGAGGCACCCTTTCCCCAGGCACCATCGCAGCCACCAAAGAGGCGACATCGCCTCACTAGATCATCTTCATCCTCCGTAGCTTGATCATTATCCTTGGGGATTATTGAGGCCCGAGTAACTCACCTTAAGCACCATGTTGCCGGAGTCTCTTCTCAGCTCAAACGAGAGGTGGATGCTCGTCGCCACTACCACCATCTAGTGGAGGAAATGGCTCGACTTCAACCTACTCAAGTTAAGGACAGATGACAGGTTTCTCTGTCTTGCGAGAGGTGGATGACGATGTGAGACATGTGGCCAAGCGGTTTTGTAGCCCCACTTCTCCACTTCGACTCTGAACTATGTTTTTCTTATTTTCTTTCTTATTTTTATGAATTTTTTTAACTAGTACCATTGAGTTTGTCTTATGTTCCCTGCGATGTTAAATACTATTATTGTGTAATAACCCCGCCTTGTGCGAGTATGTATGTGCTTCTTTTGTTTTGTGTTGTTTCTTTGTGAAGCCTACTCCTCTTCTATACCCGTCTAATGTTTTACTTTCACTTGCCCAAATGTAGGGTAATTGATGTGAAATTGATGTGAATGCATGTTCATAGAGGCTGGTTGTGGGGGATCTCGTTGTTATTAGCATTGTCTATGGATAACTTTCTTGTGATTGAGTGCAACCTATGATGATGATTGATATATGCATTAGGTTGGTGCAAGTGCTTAGTTCTCATGTGTGTGTGAACCATTGGATGTGTTTGGATTGATTACTCATTGACCACAATTGCTATGCATCAAAATATGGAAGTTGGAATGAAAGTGTGAGCATCTAGGTAGCCATGTGAAACTTGTGTCGCTTGTTTTATTCATGTGTGATAGATTCCTCTTACCATAATGTGTAACATTCACGTTGTCACTAGAGAGAAAGACAGAGGCATAGGATTAGTGCACGACCCAAAAATTGACTTGTCTCGATTGCATTATCCCCTTGTCAACCCCTTTTAGTTGTGTGTCTAGGGATCGCACTCATGTTGTGTAGCTTGTGCTTTCTGAGCTTGATTGATATTAGGAAGAGCGACCCTTACTTTCTTCGTGTCTCTACCATTATCGAGTCACCCTTGTGCTTGGAATCTCCCATCATTTGAGCTTCGTTGAGGTTCCTTTTTGTGTGTCTTGAATGGTTTCCTTCTAAAGAATGAAAGTGAGTGTTGGAGATAGTTCTTAAGAAGTGAGCATGCGTATAAAGTTCAAAGAATGTGGCATGTGTGTTTAGCTATCTAATACCCCAAAGAAAGGGGGGAAAAGAGGAACAAAAGGAAAACAAAAGAAAAAAAGGTAATAAAAGGGGTAAATAAGAATAGATAGTGCCACAAAATGTTGTTATTGCTCTAGAGAGATGTTT